AACATAATTATGTTTATTTCTTATGCGCCCGGATCGATGTGTGTTTGTTTGTTTGTCCCGAACTTTAACCTTCACCATACCTTTTGAACCATGAAAGATAGAGACTTCATATTTGGTATGCATACTCCACTAATTAAGCTCTTTCAAATGACACCAAGGTCAATGACAAAGCTAAAAATAGCTTTTTTCTGCAAACTTTAACCTTCGCCATAACTTTTGAACCATGAGAGATAGAGGCCTCGTATTTGGTATGCAAACTCCACTTATCAGGTTCTTCCAAATGACACCAAGATCAATGACCTCGTGACCTTGACTGTGACCTTAATGCTAAAAATAGCTTTTTCCGAACTTTGTTGCCGCCGGGCGCATAGTGTTTCACAAACACATCTTGTTCATACCTCCTTTTTACATGTAACTTTTAAGATAAAGGAAATATTTCTTATCAATTTTTGGGGTCTAGACATAGAAGTTTGTTTTTATTCCCAGCGTAAACAAATTCCATTTGGCAAATTTATCATTTATTATTTTAAACATAAAATGATTTGACATTGCTTTAAGGTAAAAGTATATTGTATTAATTAAATCTAACAACAATTTATGATTTTTTTTGTGTGTGAGATAGTTGTGCGGGTCGCGGATGAATATGACCTAAGTTGGATGTTTTTATTCCCTCTGCATACGTCATCTATGCATAACAAAATTAAGTCAAAAGCACAAGCTGGCCTGTTTGTTCACATTTTAAAATCATGTTATTTAATGGTGACTTTTATTATATTGTTGCTCGTTTTGCGTTTCTTGTGTTTTACACATACCCGATCTTGTTTTAATTTTACAATTTTGTTCTTATTTTAAGGTACAGCGCATCGGAAACATCAGTATAAACGAAATCTACGCCTTTAACAATAATACACTGTATTATAAATACGGACCGGGACACTTCAAATAAAAACACCAACTTGATCAAGTAAAGGTGCATATTTATATTTTTAAAAAAAATACTACGAAAAAAATCTGAATCTATGATAAGTTGACATGTAAAGGTATAGAAAACGTTTTTTTTTTAATGTTGTATTGTGAAATATATTTACTTTCCAATACAGAATTCGATTCAAAACTTGTTCTAATATCGCAGTCACATCTTCATAAACAACCATTTGCTCAACTTAAATTGAGGCTAAAAACCGGATTCTTTGAATTTGATAGTTTATAGGACATTGTCTTGTCCAATTTTGACCCGCTTTTTGCAGGTCAATCAATTTTTTTAATGTGCTTCGGACCCAGTTATGACCGATTCCTTTATTTGACGTTGTAAATTAATCTGTCTACCGCCGGCGTTTGATCATCGTCATACCTTGGTCATGCAGACAATATGTTCAGTCCGTCGTTCAACATTACGATATTGGGTTTTTCTAAATTTCGACCGGATGAATTGGGTTAGCGGTGGGGATGGAATCAAACTGCGACTGCAATGATACCAAAAATTGGGGCCATTGGCATTTATATGAAATAAGTGTTAAAACTGCTATGTCCGACCGTCCATTTCATTTTATTTCCTTCCCACGAATTTTTATTTCGTAGCCACGAATTCGAATTAATACAAAAAATCTCATACCATGTCATGTACCAGCCACAGTATTTATCTTTTTATTAGACGTTTAGAAAACAACGGATGTCTGAACTCCCATTGTGTTATTATCAGACTCCTCCAGGTAACTTTTAGACATTTAAATGGCAATGTTTAAAGGACCAACTTTTTATTTTATAGATCTCTGAGTCAACCTTTTTAAGCAATGGTTTCAGCATTGAACCGACATTAGCTCTTAATTATTTTATATGAATATCTTTTCGAAGAAAATGAAAAAAAAAAATTCACATCAAAATTATATGCTTTCTTGTAAAAATTTTGCTGTTAATGAATGCATCACATGAATACCTAATAAAATATGTAAAGAAAATCCGTATAGATATTAATTTTTTTTTAAATAAAAATATTTATGAAAATAAAACACATAATTTGTGAATATTTTTTAAAGTTGTGGTTAAAATCTTCTTGAAACCAGTCAACACTTGGGAGAACATGTTCGTTGATCATACTTATAAAAGAAATTGAAATGAAATAGCCAAATTTTAAAGAAATTATTATTTTTTAATTTTGGCCAATCCTGATCAAAATTAAACCGATCATAATTGTACAATTATTGGAAATAAATAACATTTCCCCAAGAACACTAGTCTGAACTTGACATTACAAATGTAAAATAGATTTCTTCATTGTAAATACATGAAGAGGCAATAAATTAGTATTTTATTCATTTTGTGTTAATTTTGATCGGGATCAGTTTAATTTTGATCGGGTTAGGTCCAAATATTTAAAAAATTAATGTCTATAAAATTTCTCAATTTCGTTTCAATTTCTTTTTAAAATATGATTGACAAACATGTTCTCCTCAGTTGTGACTAGTTTTTTTGTGGTGTTTTTAACCATAGGTTTAAAAAAAATTCACAAAATATGCGTTTTATTTTCATAAATAATAATAAAAAAGTCTAGCCAGCCTTTCTTTACATATTTTATCAGATATTCATATGATGCATTCATTTACAGCAAAAGTTTAACTCAAAAACAACTTATTTGGAAATAAACATTTTTTTTTTTCATTTTCTTTGAAAAAATACAAAAAAATTAATATAAAATAATTAAGAGCTGATATCGGCCTTTCAATCACCGGCACTGGTTTCTGTAATAAATTTTTGACCCATTGTATAATAATATTATACTACGGTTAAAATTAATTCCCGAAACAAGTGCCTGTGCTTTTAATGCTGAAACCATTGTTAAAAACGGATGTCTCAAAGATCTATAAAATAAAAAAAAATGGTGTGGCATTCCACCTTAAGTAAGATGTATGCCTCATACTATTCTATATGTATGAGCCTCAAACAGTCTGATAATTTTACAAATAGAACAGTATTCGGCATATATCCATTACATAGCAGTACAAAATGCGCAGTTTATATTTAATCCCTCAAAATTATCAGAATTTTTTTTATTTACGTCAAAGGGTTTGTAGGGTATTCGAAGCAACTATTATTCATCTAAAACAACTCCAATATTAAATGTGAGCATGTCGCAATATCTTCAGAATATAATCTTTCAATTTCGGACTTGTAAAGTGGCAAAGAAGCTCTACGGTTTTTCTGGTGTCGAAGTAAATATTGTGCAGTAAACCGACAAATAACATGTGTCGCTATTGAATCGTAAACATGCAGTAGACTGTCAAGCTTTGGGCTTAATTACTTGATTGAAGAACGGGTGTGACGAAGACATCGTCACGTGTTGAAAATTGCCTTCCATGTAAGGTAGTGGTCTCGACCTGTTAAATGCAACCCAACCATGTAGAGTATATATCGGATCAAGATAATGTAATTTTCCTTTTGACAAATTTTCCTAGACAGTCACCTTAATTAATGTATAAAATATTTCTAATGTACTGTATAACAGATATCACTATTATAAACGATTTACTTATTAATTAATTACAAAGTCGGTCCATTTAGTTTCAGTTCATTTTCTTCACAACCGTTGTACATACTGAAATGAAATTTGGTGTACAGGTATATCAGAGATATGCCCCTTGGACTTAGAGAAATTCCAATTATTTACAGTTTCCCTTCATTTTCTTCGCAAAGGTTGCACATACTGTAATGAAATTGAATATACAGATTTGTCAGATGAATATCCAAGTTTAGTTCTGGTTTGGATAAGATCGCACCATTGTTGAAAAAGTTAAGCTCCATGGACTCAGAAAAATTCCAATTTTTTTCAGTTTTCGTTCATTTTCTTCACAGAGGTTGTACATACTGAAATGAAATTTAGTATACAGATTTGTCAGATGAATATCTAGGTCAAGTTCTGTTTTGAGTACGATCGCACCATTTTTGACAGAGTTATGCCCCTTGGACTTAGAAAAAATTCCAATTATTTACAGTTTTCGTTCATTTTCTTCGCAAAGATTGCACATACTGTAATGAAATTTAGTATACAGATTTGTCAGATGAATATCCAAGTTTAGTTCTGTTCTGGATAAGATCGCACCATTTTGACAGAGTTATGCCCATTGGACTTAGAAAAATTCCAATTATTTGCAGTTTTCGTTCATTTTCTTCACAGAGGTTGCACATACTGAAATGAAATATAGTATACAGATTTGTCAGATGAATATCTAGGTCAAGTTCTTTTTTTGGTACGATCGCACCATTTTTGACAGAGTTATGCCCCTTGGACTTAGAAAAATTCCAATTTCGGGGGAGGGGGCGTAAGTGTTTTACAAACATCACTTGTTTACTACATTTTAATATTTATACCCAAAGCAACAAGGTTTAATGTCCGTCAGTGAGTCAGTAGGTCAGACTGTCAGTCAATCAGTCCGCCAGTCCTGGTTTTTTGTTAGAGCTACTTCTAATTCAAAAACCGCTGCACACAAGTCGTCAAACTTTGCAGATATTTAGGAAATAATGTGTAGATTTGCATATTACCAGGAAATTCCGATTCCTTTATTTTTTCCGGGAATTTCCGCATTTTTACACTAAGATTTTTGGCCATATCTTGAATATAGAGATGAACAGTTGTCAGCGCCACTCCTTCTGAACCGCTGCACACAATTTCGTCAAACTTTGCAGATATTTAGGACACAATGTGTACATGTGTATAATGCCTGGAAATTCCGATTCCTTCATATTTCCTGGAATTTCCGAACTTTTACATTTAGATTTTGGCTATATCTTTAATATACAGAGATGAATAGTTTGTCAGCGCAACTCCTCATAAACCGCTGCACACAATTTCGTCAAACTTTGCCGATATTTAGGACACAATGTGTAGATGTGCATATTACCAGGAAATTTTCGATTTCTTTATTTTTTTCCGGGTATTTCAGCACTTATACACAATATTACCATAAACACCATTAGTATGCATCATATACATTGTACATTGTAGAATTATAAAGAATGAAGACGAAAAAAGACAAATTTGTTGGGAATCTGAACAATCTGAAATGCAGACCAGTCACGGAAATTCCCGGAATTGGAATTGCCAATGGAAGCAGACTAAAACAAAATAATTATTTTTCGGTGGGTATCAATGAATAGAACAGGTCATTCATTTGTTACAAACAGATAAATTAATAAAGAAATTTTACCACACAAATCATTCATCATATGTTGAAAGATTATAGGAGTATGATAATTGTATACATGTATTTCTATAGAATGTTTTAAAGGTACAAAGACACAGATTTAATGCTAATATTTTCTAAAATTTTCTGCATAATACCATAATTTATGGACTCATAAGACCGTATGAAAGATAAAAGAAAATCTGTATATGCATGTACAAAAAAAAAAGAATTCTTTCTATCCAAATGTTAAAAAAAGAATATTGAAGAAAAATGTCATATTTTGTTTTATTCACTATGCATGTATACGTATATGTCACCTTTTTGAAATTGTATTGGCTAAGATTTTTTTTTATTTTATTTCCTAAATAATATGAAATGGGAAAATGGAAATCACAATGCACGAAAAGTTGCAGTATTTGATGACAATGACAGTTTAATGTATTTTAAATGTAATGTTACTAATTTTGTAAGCAACTAAAATCAACGGAAGTTATAAGGGAATGTTTTAGAGAAAATTTCGAAAGAAAATATTACAGCTGCAAAAAGGTATAAAATGCTCTGAATTTACTGATGTTTTTGCAGGTTCTGGACGTAATGATTGAATTTCTGATGAGGGACGAAGCTGGATTCAAAAACTGGCTTCATGAAACTTGTGGTGCTTATAAATCGCACCAGGATAATTGCTTTCAAGGACTTCGAGAGCTGTGTATCAATATCATGAAAGACGCCTTTCCTGAATTGATGTTTTCTATTGCTACGTGCAATTTTACCGCATATATGTTCCAAATTCTTTATCCTATTGGGAAGACAATTGGTTTTAAAAGTTCAGTCATGGATATTTTTGGTGTTCCTCTTTGGCAGATCGAAGGATATTTCGTCCTATGCAAAGATCAAATGTTAAATTTTCTTACCATTTCTGCACACATTTCTTGTTGTGCATAATATTATTCCGTTCAATCTAATATACGAGGGTCATTCAAAAAAGTTCGTAGATTTTTGTCATAACTTGTAAATTTAACGTGATATTACAAACAAGTCTGTACACAAATCTTAAAAACTGATTGAAAAATTCTGAGTATCAAAGATTTAAGAAAAGAAATATGGAGTCACAGAACAGGGTAAAATTGGTTTACTAATTATACATTTTATAATGTTTATAGAAATACAATGTACTTCTAATAAATGGCGCTTAAACAAAATAAAATTGATTTTTTTTAAAAATTTAGTATTGTTTTTTTATTTCAGATTTTAAAAGGTTATGTAATCATTATGCATAGCTTCCTTTTAATGATATCGATTTCTTCAAACAGATAGTCTTGATTTAAAAACAAAATAAAGAAAAACAAAACAAAATTTCTAACATCGATGTTTTTTTTACATTTGAACATGTGTTGATCTTTAATTTTGTAAAAATATGATGAGGAGGAACATTGTGTACATATTTTTTGAATGACCCTCGTATAACCGTAAATTACTATGACTGCTATTCTCTTAAAGCCCGAGATAATAAGCACCGCCCTCAGATTTACCTGGTCTGTATCCCCCTGTCAATTAAATAAATTAAGGTCCATCATTTGGTACTTTTTTATTATTATTATTATTATTACTTGAAATTGATTGACATTTGGCTACTAGTCCCTGTGTATATCTCTTTCATCTTGTTTGACACGCTTGGCCACCATCAAATTAACTTTCGGTCTTCTGATGTTTACCGCTAAATTACCATCGCAATGAGGAAGCCATTTCGATGCAAACAATTTCAGCTTGATTATAATTAATTAATTATCTGTATTACAAATATTTCATTAAAAAATGAATTTTTATCTCATTGTATTTCAATAAAAATTAATCATGATTGTGTATATTCTTACTCGTGAAAATTGCATAGGCGAATGAAATCTTGTTTTCTGTCGTAAAAATTAAGAATGATTCTTGTTGTGAGACACGGCGAAAAATTACGATGAAAATAAAGGAGAAAATAAACTGGTAACACAATGGATAACTAAGGATGAAACAAAATAAGTATCAACTTCGCTTGGACAAGTATTAAAGAATTAAGAGTTTCTTTCTTTTCCTTTCCTTTTTATAACCGAGCATTTCTTGCTTCATGGGTTGTTACCTTCTTTCAAGGTCACAACTGTTAAAAATAGTTTTGAAAGATATGTTAGCAATAGATTAATATTTTGTTTTAAGTTGTTTAGTTCTAACCTAAATTTACTTAAAATACACACATACTTGTATGTAATTTTAACTTTACAAAACCATCGTTATCATCGCGATTTTTTCACAATAGGATACAGAATGTACATTTGCTAAAAATAGGACCACGCGACTTTTTATACAAACGGCAAGTAACTGTTACTATTTGATCATGATCGAAGCTCTAATTAATTGTTACTATATTTACGATAATTAATTATAAATAGTTTTTAAGATTTTGAAAGGGATAGACAAGGATGAGTATTTTTTTTTTACAACGAACTCAAGTCGTAACTGCTGTACATGTGACGTACAACAAACCGTAGATTTTTTTTTTTTTACAAAAGTTGGGGCTGCGAGATTTCTGCTTGTAAGTCTGAAATTACGAAATTTTACAATTATCATTAATTATTATTGATGTTTTTTATTTACGATGTCAAATTCTACTAATTTTATGATGAACAGTAGGCCACCAAGCTGTACAGGTAATACCCATGGACTTCCTGTGTATACTGTTTGTGTATAGGGATTAGCGCTTCCCAGTCTGCACGACCGTCAATGCCTCGGGGTGCCACGCATGTAAAATTTAGTCCCTCCCCTTACCTGAGAAAACCGTACGGTTAAAAATCTCGGCCTTTAAACATAACTTTCTAGTATACTATTGTGAATCAGTTAAGATCTTTTTTATTTAATATACATAATTTTATTCACAAAAAGTGAGAGGGATTGGACAGAAAGCAAAGGAATTTTTCTATGTATGTCATTCACAAAAAAATCAATTAAAATGTTTTAAGGAATGTATTTTTTAATACTTAGATCCCAAATTGTATTGTTAAAAAGAGTAATTACTCTTGATAAATTTGTATCTTAGTCCCCCAAAACGTATAACGTTAGGATAATGTACTTTGTATTTTATCAACCAAACCTATATTGTTTAAATTTTAAAAGAGGAACACCTTTTTTAAAAAGATATTTTTAAATCTTATCCCCGAAAGTGCATTATTGGCATGACTGAGAGCGCCTATGTACTTTCTGCCAAGAAAACAATCATTGGTGGGACTATATTTATGCACAACAAAGACATGGCCAACATGGAAGTCTCTGGTGACGGCCTAATACTCTAAGTCGTTTTAATTCCATGGTGTTAAAATTTCACGACATCTCACAAAGAACCAATTGCGATGGTTTTAATTTCATACATTCTGCAAGAAATGAATTCTGTATAAGCTTAATTAGCTATGATTTATCAAATTTTGGAGCTTTTCACATAATTCTGGGTAGAATCGACCCTTATGAAAATATTGACTCAATTTTGACTTAATATCACTTTATTAACATCAAAAAATAAAAACAATTCATTGTACAAATATTTTATTCATTACAGTCACCAATATATCCAAATATCATCACCGGCCCGAAAGTCATTCACTCCTTTGAACTGTGCTGGTAGCAGCGAGGTGTCATCTTTTGAGATGGTCACAGTATCCAATACACTGAAGTCACAGGACTCATATTTCATACATGTTCACAGGTGGGTGTATAGTCTTTGAAATTACCACAATTGACTAATTCTGGGACAGGCTAATACATGTATGTAAGTATAGGAATGAGAGCACCAAATCCCCGGATGAACACGTGGCTTTGTGATGGAAGGTTGAACAGAACACTGAATGGGTAGGCGTTACGCCATTGGCGGAAATCAGGTATTTAATTGTTTTCATTTTAAAGTAAAATTAATGACCTTTGAAATAAATGATGGAATGAGGGAATATTACAGAAACTATAGAATTACCAGGGAAGATTTTAGGAGTGGGGGTTGATTTTTTATGTAGCGTGTTATTTACTGCGGATCACTATAAGTTGAAAGTAACTGCAATTTTGACCTATAAATGCCATGGGACCATATTTTATTTCAGTATTTTTAGTTAGGGCTTGGAACGAAGTTTGAAATGATGCTAAGGATTTTTTTTGAAATTGTCATAGTAAAGTACTGAGAGGGCCTAAGGTTTGTATAGAGTTCTGTGGGAAAATAATTAGTGGTCTTTTCCCAAAAGAGAGGAAGTGCACAATCTTCAACTATACAATACCATCTTCCAAGGAAGACGGTAACAAGTAATAGAATTCACGATGGGTTTGATTTCGTGAAAAAATGATAAATCGCGAACATAGTGAAATTATTAATTAAAACCATCGTGATTATTTGCCAGTCTACAGTATGTGCTAACCAGCACGAAGAGGACTAAGTAAGTTGAACATGTCACAGACAGACACTACAGGTGTCATCATTGTGAATTGAATAAGGACAGACAATGGCTTAAAGAAGCTAATGTTAAAAAGTAATTTATGAATGTTCGCAAAAAAATATACAGAACTAAGATTTTTAAATTTTTAAATTCCAAGAGTGGTTATTGAAATAATTTCATGACTACTGACTAACATTTTGACTTCTGAAATTTTACAGGCTCCAGAGCCCACAGGCTTTACGTGGAAGTGGTCAAAAGCAAGTTCCTGGTGAATGAGAATGACATTGGAAAGTTATCTCCTCTGCACCAGACATATGGCCTGGAGGTGTTTCAAAGTGTTGTGAACAGCTTAGCACCCATGACAACACATTTTTTCTACCTTGCAATGTTGGCTAGATAATTTAGAATACCGGTACTAGTATTTCCTAACACTACCGAGCAAACATTTGCATGCAGTATTTGAAGTTGTTCTATTTTCATCCCATACATTCTAAATGCTGTTTATTCTTTTAATGGAACAGGTAATCAACATATCGTGTTATTCGGCGGCAACTCTACATCTTTACAAGAATGGGCAGCTTCACGAGGCTGTAACCAGAGCTGGGGAGTTGCAGTGGCAGCTTAGTTATCCCAAAGGAAAGAAAGGGAACATGCTGTTGTTGAGCCACACAAGACCCTCATAACTTATGGAAAGATACTGTAAACCAACTATTATTCGCGTCATCTTTTATTCGCGATTCGTCAGTTTGAAATTGATTGGCATAATTATCCGGGCCAGTGTTAAATGATCCAGTATAATTTGTTTAGATGTATATATACATTTATAAAGTTTATATAGATTTGATTTTTTTTTTTTTGGATATGAAATTGTCATAATTTGTTATTGTTAAGATTTTAATTACATGCAATGCTGCTGTAAACATTTCATCAATAAATTATTCATGATATATTATGTATAAAGTTTGTAAAGATTTTCGCTTTTTTTTACTGATATATGAAATATTTATCATTTGTTATTGTTAAGATTTTAATTACATGCAATGCTGCTGTGAACATTTCATCAATAAATTATTCATGATAATGTATAAAGTTTGTATAGATCTGATTTTTTAGGTCATTGATTGAAATATTTATCGTTTGTTATTGTTAAGATTTTAATTACATGCAATGTTGCTATTAATAGCGAGCGCAGCGAGCTCAATAGACTAACGTGTACGAACGGAGGAACTTCGGGTTGAATTCTGCACATTGTTCCAAGAAATTTTTATCTCACCGCGTGAAAAAATTCCAAACTCCCAATAATCCTATGCGGTGCATAGCAACATAGTGGATAGAATAGTGTTTCTAAGGAAACTTCTTACATTTAAATTGCGTACATCTTTTCACAATTAAATAAATTTAAAATCACTCAAACCACCATCACATATGCACATGGGGCTTACGTAAACAAATCTGTACCTATCTGAACTTTTGCTTACTCATGACGTCATTTCCTTCTCCCACTTTACCCGACAAACTTCCACGAAAAATGCCGATGACTTGAGTAAAAATAAAACAACAGGCACTTTTCACCTTACAGATAGAGCTGTCTAAGCACAATTAATAAATAAATTATAATAAACCATACATAGTTTTTTTTAACCCGTCTTACTTTTTTAAATTTCTCTGATCCGGTTTATTTCCTTCCGGGTCGTCTGCTTTGTTTACAAACAGTGAAGACTGGCAAGAACTTGTGAAGA